TCATCCGTTCCCGCATCAATCCACTGAGGCCGGCTTAACTTCTAATACACACGCGTGCGACCTCTCCGCTTGCGTTTTGACCCCCGACCCTCGTCCATAACATTGTCACCCAGCATTCTGGCTTCTTCACCTCTGCCAAGGCGTGCTGATCTATATCTGGTTCTCGGGTGAGAGGCAGAGCACCCGGCAACGTGCATCTAAAATGCAGAGGGTATACAGCAGCGTTTTGACTCTGCGCAGGAGCTGTAGCCAACGGGATAAGACACTTGTGGCATATTGGTCACACGCGTGACTGGTACGTGTTCGAATCCCCACTGCGAATTACGTGGCCGCACTGCTTCTCCACCGAGCGCTGCTGTGCTGAACTTTTGGGGCAGTCTAACAATCATGGAGTTGAACGACGAGATTAGCTCGTGCGCATGAGCTAGAGATCGATTTGCTTCATCATGAGACCACGAGGGCTGGCGAGGGGGGGGGGGGCTTTCGTCCAGCAGTGGATAAATCGTGGAACATGATGATAATCAATAACGTTGGAGCCAAATACATTTCAATTATAGCAATTGGCTTAAATTAAGTCAATTGGCTCCTACATTCCAGTCCACAGGGATTTTTTTGGATGGGGGATGCAAAAGTATTCTGTCAGCCCCCCACAGACCCCCCCACCACCACTCTCCCCATAGATGTTTGCGCTGACCCATTCGTATTGCGGAGAGCAAAATGAATCAACGAATCTTCAGTTTGCCAATCTCGCCCCCACCATTGCACATTGCAGAGGAATGGGGAAACGGTGCAGGGGCATTGGACTGGCGGCGTCTTTGGCGAGACCCTCTTGAAAAGAGAGTCTTAAGGGTTCATAATGACGTTTTTTCTGGGTTACATCCGTGTGAATGAGTGTGTCGTGAAGCCCACCACCACCGACGCAGCCAATTAGTAAGGCTTGTCACGTCAACAACACGTGCCAGTTGTTAACTATTACTTGGGCATATCGGTGTGATGGCGAGTAAACCCAAAACATTTCATCACACCGATGTGCTGAAGTAATAGCTCCAGTGGCTTCCTAATATCGGAAGGAAGAGCGTTCCAGACGGCCGCAGAAGCGCATCTGAATGCGCGCGATGCGGTGACCGTCTTTGTTTCTATGCCTCGCAGCCAACAGCCGCTGCGAGGGATGATCGGAGTTTGCGTGGCGGTTTATGCTCCCGGCAGAGGATAGAAGACTGAATATTAAACATTCATAATGAGTGTAAATTTATTGATAATCATAGTTAGCGGTGTTTGAATGCTATCATAATACAGAATGTCATTTAAAACAATTAACGGTTAAAATAATGTCCTGTACTTTAATAAATGCCGTAAGTAATGCAATTGAAAAATAATTATACGTAAATTTATACATTTTAATTATTAAATGTATTAATGATTCTACTTTATAACAAATGCAATAGAAAGAAATATCCACTCTTTGGAAAATACAAATTGGATATGGCATTTTGTATAAATTGTAAGGGATGTATCGGTAACGCAATGATAAATACTGGCAACAGCATTGTAGGGGGCAATCTTCACATGAAAGATGTTTTATTATGACCACTGTTATAATCAGAAATCCTATATAGTTCGCAGCCGTAGTCGTCAGTAGTCGTGTTCGATCCACTGCTGGATGAAGGCCTCCTTTGGGCTGCCACTCCCTTCCTGATTTGGCCCTCTACGCGGCGACCGCTCCGTTATGCTCGTACCAAGTGAGTGTCTGTAGCTCAAAAGAATGAATAAAAGTTCACACGTCTGCAGTAATTACGCGTTCCGTGTTAACGTCTCCTACTGAAAGGGCCACGGGCGAAATTAGCTTTCTGCGTTGACGTCGAAATGCATTCTTTACTGTTTCTTGCTTCTATTTGCAACGGCCGCCCGCTTTTGAAGAGGCACATCCATTAACTTGTAAACAATGGTTGTTTGCCAAGAAGATGAGGCCTGGTCTTGGGTGCCTTCGGCAAACAAAGCACATCAAACACACGTGCTGAGCAACCGGCCCCCTCTCCCGGAGCCCGTAGCCGCCACCCCTACAACCCCTGCTCATTGTTTTTGCTTTTACGGTTTTAGAGTTTTGTGTACCTGTGAGAGGGAAGCATGCACACAGATGGTTGTTTGTTTGTCCTAGTTTATACATTAACAGGAGCTGATGGGTAGTGTGTTTGTTTGGGGCTTGCCAATGGCTGCATTTGCAATGTCTTACTGTCCAGCTGTATTTGTCTTCAAAACAAAACTCCCTTGACTCACTTTGCCCAGTTTTTTTTTTGTGCACGCCGAGGACAAAGGGGGTCCTCTATTCATTGCCCCCTTTAAGGACGATGCGTGGCGCATTCCCTGCTCGTTGAAGCGCTCGGTCCCTGCTCATTGCCCGTCGTGGTCGATCGTCGGATCGTCGTTGGCGTGAAGACTTTCGCCTCGATCTGGGGTAGGGGAAGGGGGGCCGAACATTGAAGCGGCATGGGCTCGAGTCCACCCACAGGCCTGGATCGTCGGCCGCTATTACCGCGTGAACAAGAAAAAAACCATGCGTGATGTCTTGACAATGAACTCCAGCGCTCATTATAGTCTTGGGGAGGGGGGGGGCAAGGCTTCGGGGGGTGGTAGGGGTCGGGAAGAGACCCGCGTGCACCAAACCGCCATCCCACCCTGGCGATTGCCATTTTAAAGGGCACAGAGCTTCATCTGTCCCGTGCTTGATTTGGGACGGTAGCGGCGGTGCGGCGACGTCCGTCTGCCGTCGCCTGCAACGGGAAACAAAAATAACCCCGCGGCGGCGGCGGCTCGCGCTCGGGTGACGCGCGCGACGCTTCGACGCGCCGCACGCGCGGTTTTTCTCCCCACCAATTCGCTCTCGACGTCGTCGGCTCGTAAACTCGAATCGGTTTAGTAGGGGCCCACGGTGCTGGTGTGTGGCCCGTTACCGAAGAGCCGGCGTAGGGCCTGGCTGCGGAAATGCATCGCACGTTCGCCACCACCTCCCCCCCCCCGCCGCCCCAAAGAGCTGCGTTCGCTCGGTTTCACGGCTACATGCACTCCGCGCTTCTCGGTGTGAGGCAGTGGAGCCGTTTACCCCGTGAGCCTGTCATTAATTCTGATCGTGAGCTTTCCAAGCCACTTTCAAATTTGAGCAATATCATGCGGTTTGCAACTGTGGCTCTTGAATAAATGGGTGCAAATAAACATTTAAGCGTATTGAAGGAGTGGGAATGCCAAGTGTAAATGTACATCCGTGCCTTTGTAATGATCGCTTATGCGGGCAGCACGAAATCTGTGCCGGTTTTCTTGAAATGGACTTGGTGAATATTTGCCACTTCAGAAGCCGCAGTATGAAAATGAATATATTATTTTTACTTGCCAAAATTACAATGGCTCTGCATTTCTTGGAGTGTACACTAATTACATCTGTAATTTTAAATGTCAGATTTTATTCTTATCTGCTGCATGCCTAATAAAAGTATAAAATTTAAAAAAATTGCAATGATAGAATTAAATCAGAATGCAGACATGAACTCATTGGGACAATTCAAATGACAAATGACATTTTGCTTAAACAGAGCTTTCAGTACTTGTATTAAGCAATTAAAAAAAACCCGGTGATGTATTTTGGTTGACTTAATTCTGAATGTGAATCCCTCTTCTTTTTTCGGACGTGGCTAGGTTAATTAAAATGCCTTCGCCGCATGTCATGCAAATCCGGCAAAAACGACGTGTAGTCTGAAACGCAGTTCTTTCAATTTTCGGCGTTATTTTTTTCGCGACACAAGAATGCGGTGGACGTGCCTAACATTTCAAGCAGCAATTACCACATCTCTTGCCCCCGTACTTGCTGTCATTTAATCAGCCGCATGTTATTTCTGAAGATAACAGACCCCCCCCCCCCCCCTCTATTTGTGCCATTCACTGGCGCTCCGTTATTTGCATAGCGAACAGAGACCCAGGCACTTATTAATTACGGTGATGAAATTGTCAAGCGCATGTCGCTACCAGCATTAATTTTTTGAATAAGATTTGTTTTCGGCCCTCGCAACATTAATCTAGCAAATAACTAGCCTGAATCCAAAGCTCCCAAACAACGGTTTGGGGGGTGGAAAAGTGATAATAAGTAGAGGAATATGGTGAAACTAATTTAGCATAGTTTTACCAGCAGCTTATTGCATTCAGTTCACAGTTCCCCTCTATAATGGAACACCCAATCATTATGTTATTTCTTAGTGCATTGCATTTTGTTTAAATTATACGTAATTTGATGCAGCAAAAACGAACACATGAAAAGAGGCCAATTTTCCACGTGTTTATGCACATCTTTATAACGCTTGTTTAAAACAACGGCAACGTTTTTTTCGTTTTTGTTAATATTATCTCGACGCTGCGTGTAACAATTGTGTGTACGCGTGTGCACGTCTGCTTGGATGGCTAATTATACTTTACCTACCACACCAGATTGTTAACGGCTATATGGGGGAGCCTCTGTCTTCGTGCATGCGTGCGCATGCGTGCGTATGTGTCGTGACCATGTATGTGTGTCTACGTGTGTGCTTGTGCGTGTTTCAGTGTGTGCGTATGTCGGAGCGGTAGTGCAGTGCTTAGCGCGTTACGGACCTGACGACTCGAGTTCGATTCCCGTTCACAACCAACAGTGACGATGATCTGAACCGGTCCAGGGCCTCCCTTGGGTCGACTCTCACTTAAATGAGTACCTGTTGTGTTGTGTAAACATCACCACAAGGGAGACAAAGGGAGACAAAGGTGACCGGGCGTGGCGTTGGCCACTAACCTCCTTGTGTGCCGTACCAGCCTTCATAACAGCGCTTGCCTCAACAGTCTGTTAAAGCTATACGTGGGATCTTTGTCTTTGTAGGTGTGTGTCTGCGTATGTCTGCACGCGTTTGTGCATGTTTGCGTGTGTCTTTGTTTTTGTCTGTGTGCGTTATGTACGATTTTTTTTGTCTTGTGTTTTTTGTTGTTGTGTGCAGACATCAAAGCCATGATGATGCAGGAGGCCCTGAAGGAGCTGGCCGGGAGTAGCCTGGCCAATCAGAACGGAGCGAGCAATGGCAGTGGTGGCCAATTGGAGGGCAGGATGAGCTGTGACCTCACAGCCGTCCCGGAGGTGACCACTGCAGACCTGGTCCATCTGCAGCAGCAACAGGTGCATTTAATTTTTTATCTGCCTGTGTGTGTCTATATGTCTAACCCTCTGTAAATCTCCTTATCTGCTTCTCTCACTCTATTTACCCGCATATTCATCTGCCCAGTTTATCTGTCAATCTGTCTATATGTCCATCGACCTGTGGCATCTGGGTCTGCCCCGTGACCTCCTGCCAGCGGGCGTTCGACACTTCACGTGGCCTCAAGGTTGCACATAGCCTGGCACAAGCGTCGTGGTGACATCACCGCCACTTAGTGGCGTATGGTGGTTGTTGTTATATGTCCATCTAACTGTCTATACAAAGACAAAGATCCCCCGTATAGCCTTAACAGACTTGGGGCAAGTGCTGTTAGCGAGCACCTATGAAGGCCAGAACGGCACATGAGGGGTGGGTTGCCAGCACCACGCCCAGCCGCCTTTGTCTCCCTAGTGGCGATGTTTTTACGCACCGCACCAGGTACTCATTTGAGGCTGAGTCGACCTAGGGAAGGCCCAGTACCGGTTCAGATAATCGTCACTGATGTTGGCCGTGAGCGGGAATCGAACTCGGGTGTCTATGTTCGTAGCGCAGTGCGTTAACCGCTACACTACCGCTCCCATGCACACACACACACTCGTGTATCTCTTCTTACGTCTGTTTATCTTTCGTAGCTGCTGTTTATTTGAATTTTGTTCCACCTTTTTTTGTCTTGAATCGTGATCCGGGGCAAAGGGTTGGGGCTACCTGACTAGCGAGCGTGGTTAGCAGACGAGTAGGTCAACAGATGCCCTCTGGCAGAGCTAGTGGTTGAGTGGGTGTGGCTATGTAAAACTGGGCAGGGCTTGAAGGAGGCACGTGTCTAAGTTGAGCCTCCCAGATATGCGTTGGCTTTACACATTGAGCACTGCGTAATAACAATGCACATAACTCAAAGTGAGTATTTTTTTGTGAGAATTGTTCAAGGTTCCCAAGGTGGATTGTGGGAAGACTGTAGTAAACACAACCCCTGTGTGCTTCAGCTTTTAGAGACGGCTACTGAACGAACCGTTTAAGCCTTAAACTGAGATGTTTAACAATAGCTCTTTTTTGGCCGAAAGAATAATAAACGGAATTACTGCCAGCAATTTGACTCGACCACTAATGTAAAACTTAATTTAAAACGATTTATTTCTGAGAATACGGTAAACTATAACCTACCAAAAGGAGGATAAATGGCCGTTTATTTTTGTCGAACGTTTGAGTCAATGTGTTTGCAATGATCCAGTTTGTTTTCACGCACGTGAAAACAAACAGGGGTTTTGTGCTTATTATTTTTATTTATTTACGTTTTTTTTTTGCGAGAACATCACGCCGCCGCGTGATTTGATTTGGGCCCATTGCTCAGCGTCCGCGCGGCGTGCGTGGGAGCGACGCGAATTTAAGCCCGGACCCTCGCTGAGCCAACAGCTTCGGCGACGTTTTTGCCGTTCACTCGTTTAAGTCGACACCTACCTTCGGCTTGTTTGGGCCGGCGTTCAGCACGCGGCCAAAGCTTCCAAAATCACTTGTTTGTTTCTGGAAATTTGGCAAAAATCGGGTCCAAACGCAGCAGCCATCTCTGGCTCGGCTTCTGGAAGGCCTCGGCCGGCCGGGCTGCGAGCGCGCGCTCTGCGTTTCTCACTTTCGTTCCGCTCGCGACGGCAAGAGCGCGTCGATTCGCCGACTTAAGATCAGTTTCTTGCACGCAACATGAACGGCGGTTTTCCCGAGCGCTCCTTCAGAAACCGACGTCCGCTCTCGATAGCCTCGCACGCCCTGTTGCACAACAAAGGGGCGAGAGTCTTGATACGCGCTTGGAATCACGCGGGGTAAGAATCCATTGATTTTGTTTCGTTATAACCCTGCAGTCATGCCCATTGCAATATATGTATTTGTGTATGCGTAAAAAAAAGGAATTGATTCTGTAATCAAATCGTGGACTCCCCCCGACTCACAAAGAGTCGTTGCATCGCGAGCGGTCGTCGAATCGATTGCTTAACGTATATAAAAATCCACATGTCTCCCGCATCGAAAATAATTTCACATTTCATAATTGAACACGGTTAACAACGTGCACAAAGGATTGCTATCCCAATCCCTCAAAAGAGCGTCGGTGCTCCTCGCAGAGCCTCGACCACGCAGTGGCGATATTCACGTGGGTGCCGCCGGCACGTGCTGCTGTGAACGATGACGTCGCAAAAGCACGCGGCCACGATTGGTACCGCGACGACGTGCGCACGTACGCAACGTCGAACTTCTTTCGTGCCGTGCGTAGCCGAACCGTGCTCGTCGGAGACGCGGGTGAAGGACAACGAAATACGCACAAACATCGGTTCGAAAGAAATTCGTTTTCATCTCCGGATGACGCCAAAGTTGCAAAGCCCCAGTGGCCTCCTAACATCGGAAGGAAGAGAGCGTTCCAGACGGCCGCGGAAGCGCACCTGAAAGCGCGCGATGCGGTTGCCGTCGGTCACGGTCAGAGTTCCGGCATCACCAGGCCGCGTTGCCCGACGCTCTCTCCAGACTCGGTCACCGCCATCGTCACCACCGGAGTGCGTTCCGTACGAAGCGGGCGCTGGCTCGCCATACAAATTATTTAAGCACTTATTTAGTGTTACCTGTTTATTTTTTTTGTTCGTTTCGCCGGGCGTTTTCATGCTGTGTTGTATAAGTGCATCCTATGTAAGGTGTACCTTTTTAAAAATAATGTTTGCATGCGTGATCGCTATGCGTGCGTCAATCCGACACCGTGGGCGGCACCCTGGCAAACACGGTGGTTCCATACTGAGGGATGTTCCAGGTGGACTTCTTTCTCGTGGGTAAACAAATAAATAAATTGACATCGCTACGCACGGGAGAGCCTCACGGATCAGGGCTCTCACGGTCAGGCTCCCATCGTCTCTGGAAGCGGCTCGTCGGATCGTATATTCACCGTCGAGGCCCGTCCCCCCCCCCCCCCCCCCCCCCCCCGCGTGGCCGACAAAAGACGCAAAGGCGCTCGCGACTAAGGCAGGGAACAAACACGAAATATAAACACTTCGTTTTTCACTGCGGTTGAGCAGGAAGGACAGAGTGTGTCGGTGTGGGTGGGGGGGGGTAGAATATTCTTCTGAGTGTGATGGTGAGGATGGGCACGTTGCCTGTGATGCTGGCAGAGTAGGAATGAAGCCCAATTTGAAATGGTGATGCCTGTAGGTAGAGACGTCGTCTTGGCTGTTAAGAAAAGCGAGTGTCGAGACGCGATGGTGGCCGGTGGTCGAGACTGACAATGGAATGGCGCCTCCAGGAAGGAACGCGCCTGTGAGTCCAGCGTGGAGATGTAGCGATGAAATCGGCTCGCATGCAGGTGCTGGGTTAATTATTACACCGCAGGACCGTGGAAGTTGCGATGGCTTGGCGAAGGCGTTCATCCAGCAGTGGATCGCCCATGGCTGATGATGGCAATGAAAGTGAGTTTACCGAATAGAACCAAAGAGTATGGATCCTTGCAGTCACGAAAGCTTCAAATCTAGAATTGAGTAAAAGTACTCGACACGTCCAATACATTTATAAAAAGAGAGCTCCCTTTATATTTGACGAGGGCAAGGTGTTTTCATGAACAGATGTACCTGATGGGACACGTTTGTCATCATAATCATCACGGTTGTCGTCGTCGTTGCGAAGATCATCCGGTTTTCTCGTGTTTGTGCGGTCGAGACGTTGTTGCCGATTTTGTGTGCGACAGCTGTTCCCGTTCCTCGCTCGCAAACTCCGCGTCAGGAACGGTGCGCTGCTTCCGCGCCACCCCAGGAAGCCCCTGAACCCGAGCGCTTCGTTAATATTTTAACGAGCGATGCGGGCCGCAAGCCCACGGCACATTCACCACGACGCACGCACGCGCGCGCACGCACGCACAAAACAAAGGTCCCCTTCCGTATAGCCTTTGTCCCCCTTGTAGCGATGTTCACTCATCGCACCGGGTACTCATTTGAGGCTGAGTCGACCTCCGGGAGGCCCAGAACCGATTCAGATAATCGTCACCGGTGTTGGCCGTGAGCGGGAATCGAACTCGGGTTGCCAGGTTCGTTGCGCAGCGTAGCGCTCACCGCTACGCCACTGCTCCCCACGCCCGTACACACGCGCGCGCCAACAAAGGATTGATATTTTATAGTGAGCAGAACTCACCAAATGCTCTGCACCAACGCAAGCAACACATGTGGATTTTTTTTTAATGTATACAAAGAAAAAAAGAAACGTCTTAACATCTGTATAAAATCAAACTTGTAACATGTGTACAGGGGCTGGCATTTCGTCAATTCACTGCCAGATGATGACTTCCCCCGTGCCCTGTGTGTAGTCGAGGTTGTGCGATCAACTTCACCGGTTGTAGAATTCGGAGGGCATGCGGGAGCATAGAGGTGCAGTACAACGACAGATTTTGCTGCACTTACCTCTGTCGCACACACCGTAGCCCTCCAGCAGTCTATAGCAACTTAGTCTCTGCATGGCAGTCGCCATCTAACCAAACACTATCCAGGCTCAACTCTGGTTAACTTCTTATCTCTGATGGGTCTGGCGGGTGATCTGGTCAATGTAACGTTATTCTGCGTAAATTAGTGCCAGTAATTTGCAATGAATGTCAGTGTTTTAAAATACATGTGTTTGTCATATCGATAAACAGATCATTACTGTGTTTGGAAATAATGAAACTAAACTATTTGTTATTTTACCAGGTAAGGCCCACTGAGCTATACAGCTCTTTTTCAGAAGCCACCTGGCCACAAATGATAGCTCAACGAAGTGGCTTATCACCGTGTGGACATTTTCACACGCTTCCACATGGATAATAATAATTATAATATACAGCCCCTTGGCAATACGCTGCTGGATGAAAGTCTCCCTATCCCATGCTAGTTATGGGAGTCGGTGTCAGTTGGTGAAGTATGAAAAGGCAAAGGACTGGTTCTGGTATCACTCACCACTCATGTTAACCATGGCCAGGTATTGAACACAACCATATTCA